GGAAAAAAATAAGAATCATGATACTCATGTACTGGTACAAGATCCCAATGATGAATGTAACTGTATTTTATACCGAAAATGTACCAATAAACTTAATGGGAAAAAGAAAAAAGAAATTTCATGAACACCAAACCAGCACTCCAAACAATCCTAAGCAATATCCTAGAAAAAGACAATGAAGATCAGAACTCCATGAGGCCCAACAGAGGGAAGCCACCAGGCAAAGTAAGAAACTAAAGAGAAAGGGGGAAAAACCCCACAAGAAATAAAAGAGCCAAAAATAGTAAACATCATGACAAGGATGAGTCAATATCTATCAATTATAACTATCAGTGCTAATGGTCTCAATTCACCAATGAAAAGAAATAGACTGACAGAATGGATTAAGATGCAAAATCCAACAATATGCTATATACAAGAAATACACCTAACTCAAAAAGAAATACATAGACTGAAAGTAAAAGGATGGAAAACAGTTCTCCATGCCACAGGAACTGTTGATAATAAAGTTATTTTTAAATTTTAAAAAAAAGAAGCCTAGTACTTTGCATCAGAACAATAGGAAAGATGGCTTGAAAGCATCTCAGGAATCAGTAAGACCAAATCTTTTGTAGCCTCAAGGGTGCAAAAATATAAAGCTTTTGTTTGAAAAGAGCCACTGGGAAGTCGGTCTGAGAAGGGCCATCTAGGGAATTGGCTCTCTGGGATTCATTTCAATTTACTCATCCATATAGGCACTCAGAGACCTCTGCAGCCATGATCCAAGGTAGCCTGGCTGATTGAGCTGGCAGCAGACCTTAGAATTATCCAGAGAGTGTTGGTTTTACAGGCATGCAGAATGCAAGTATTACTGGGGTTCATGGAAGGTTCCACCCAGATTTCAGAGAGAGGCCTGGGAGGCCAGGTAGTGTTTCTCTGAAGAGCCAGGATATGAAGTTAGGTGAATAAAGTCAAAAGTACAGTGGAGTCCCCAGGATATTAGAGATGTTTGGGACATGAAATTTTGCTGAGGAAAATTCTTATGCAATAAGCAGATCCTGTCTAAGAGAAGGGCTACATGAGCTGCAACTAGTATGCTATAGGGGTTAGGCTAGTGAAAAACTATATAGGTTTCCGTTTTGTTAATAAAAAATCTAATTTTTAAAATTTTACTCATAATCAAGGAATAAATTCTTTTAAATCTATGTTTTATGTGAACACTGGACCATTAAAACTCTTGTTAAAAGAATCATACCACAGTGATATATACACACCCATGTTTATAGCAGTACAGTTCGTAATAGCTAAAGCTTGGAAACAGCCCAAGTGCCCATCAACTGGAAACTGGATAAAGAAGATGTGGTTTTTCTATAAAATAGAGTACACTCAGCCATAAAGAACAAGAAAGTAGAGACATTTATAGCTAAATGGATGCATATTGAAGCCATACTCTTAAGTGAAATAAATAGGACATACATGTGTAAATACCAAATAGTTTCTCTGGTGTAAAAAACTAAAAATGTAAATAAGGACCAAATGGTATAACTGATAATGTGAAATAGGAAGAAAAGGTCTAAAGGAGTAGGGGAAGTGGGAAGGGTAGGGGAAAGGAAAGAAGGGAAAAGAAAAAATATGAGAAAAGGAAAAAATGGAAACAAAGTCTTTGTAAATAGGGAAGGGTGGAGGGGGTGAAGGGAGGGCAGGGGGAGTGGGGAAAAAATAAGAACCAAGATATATCATGTAAAGGTACAAGAGCCCAATGATGAATGTAACTGTAGTGTATACCTAAAATGCACCAATAAACTTAATGGAAAAAATAATAATAAAACTTTTGCTACTGGGTGTAGAACCTGAGCACTGGCCTCTAATTTGTAGATTTAAAGATTTTTGTAGCAGGGCCAGGAATTTAGCTCAGTGGTTCTGGTGCCTGCCTCAAAAGCACAAGTTCCCAAGTTCGATCTCTGGCACCAAAAAAAAAAAAAGATTTCTGTAGTGACTGGCTCTAGATAACACAAGGCCTGAAATAATAGTTTATACAAAGATAATAACATTTAGAGCTACACCTGCCTGGCAAGCACAAGGTCGAATTTGATTCCCAGAACCACACACACACACACAAAATTAGTGGCTAGAATATTTATACTGACACTAAAATATAAATTGTGTAAAGAGAAAAATAAAAGAAAAATTGTAAAAAAAACAAGGTGGTACACTCTGTGGAGATGGGAAAGGGATTTGGGGAAGAAGGGAGAAGAGTAAAAATAATCAAGACACAATATATATACTTACCAAGTCCCCAGGATGAATGTAAGTACCATGTATCACCAGCATAGGCTAATAAAATTTTTTAAGACTAGAACATAATCAAAAGGATAGTCAATTCTTTCCACTTTATCTCATTTTGTGTTGAACGATTTACAACAGTGTACTTCCTGTGAGTCACATGCTCTCTTCCTCATGAGGCAAGATAATGACGACTGCGCCCTGGGATGTCGTTCCTGGGAAGGGCTTTTGTATACGCAACTAGGGACATGGGAATCAAATGCAGCCATGGGCCTTTGTCTTCAATTGAGCACAGCACCATTTGGATTATCCAGGACAGGTACACATTTATTCTACCTCTTTTATGTCTGTGCTCATCTGAGCTTGGTGGCTTGTGTTCTATGTAGACCGACTCCCAAGTTCCTTCTGCAATGGCAATATCTGTGTTTAGACCACTGCCCACACTTTCCAGCATCTGCACTTTGGTGTCTGTGGGATGGCCATGTGCTTATCCTCAGCCCAGATGAGTCTAGACCGAGCACGTGTGTAGCATGGAAAATGGCCAAGTTGCCATGCTGTTACAAATACCTGAGAAACTTCAGGTGTCGGGGGAAGTGAGGAGCCCTCAAAGTTCTGCACTATAGAATTGACCAAGTGGACCAAGCCTTCTGTAATCACCTCTCAAGCATACACTGTTCTGAAGCACAATGGTCTCATTTCTAGTTACTGAGGGCTAGGCCTCTGCAACAAACCTGTTTTAGCCCATGCTACCTGTTGCTGAAATTCTCTGGTGACATCTTGTTTCACATCCTCCTCATCTCATTTTTTTCCCACTCAGTGCAGTAGGGGGACCACTGGGAGCCCTGTGATTACTCCAAGCTTTCCACGAACCAGGGAAGGTTATCCCCTAATAATAGGACCTCTCATAAGATGCATTCTGGTTATAGCCCTCAGAATTTTTGCAGAGTTCAACGTCAAGTTGTGTGGCAGGAGTTGCATTCAGATCTAATCCTGCAGCTAGGGTAAAAGCTTGTGTAGATCAGGGCTTTTAACAACAGTTTGCTGGCCAGTTTGTAATGTACAGGGATCCCTGCTTTGGCCACTTCGGTTTGCAGCTTGCAATCTCTGCCAAGCCAGAAGGCTGAGGCTGAAACTGAGAATTGTCCCGTACTCTACTCTGCATTGCTTTTATGGATTTCTGTGCTGTTCAAATTTCCTATCATTTACATGCCCAGACACTTCATTGCTTTTGCTGTATAGTGAAATAGCTTCTTTTGTTGGGATGAACCTTCTTAATCCCTGAATCACACAGGTTCTTTCATTCTGCCACCTAACACACATCTACTGTCTAATACATATCTTTACAACCATCTCCCCTTCACAGCTCATTATTATGGAACTTTTCAAGCATGTGGAATTGTAGCAACAGCGTAAGGCACCCCCTACTGACCCATCACCTAGCTCCAACCATGATGGACTTCTGCTGATCTTTTTTATTCCCATTTGCTCCCTAAACCACTCCCTTTACCATATTATTTTTAAGAAAATACTAGTCATTTTATTTTTTAATTTTTTATTAGTATATGTTTCCAGCACATAATGATCACGTTCATCTTATTCCACTTGCAAGAATCAGGTCTTTTCTAAATATAGCCACTCAGTCATGCTCACTGAGTTTTCATCACAGAATAAACATGACTAAAAATGGAGTGATAATATTCAGCTCTGAAGAATACGAAACATCCAGTATCTTTCTGACACAAGGAAAGTGCTTCCTGTATGATAGAGAGACAGGGTGAGGGCAGTCACCCCACAATGCAGTAGAGGAACAAACTCTCATCTAGTTTTCTGTTTCAGTGCTGAGCTTTATACTCTCACAGCCTCAGCCCAACTGGGCAAGGGCTCTACCACTCAGCTACATCCCCAGCCCCTCCTCTAGTTGCTTTGATGCCTATAGCTCTCATGCTACCAGGTATTCACATACAAATCCAATCTACAAAAGAGGGAAGCCAGAGAATCAGAGAATATTCCCAAGCATGACAGGCTTAAATCAGCTACCTGATATTCACACTAGGATTTGTAGGGAATTCCCAAGGACAGACATTTCATGTGGAGCTGATGTAGAAATGAGGACCTACACCTCTAAGAACATAAAAGACAACTGATTTGAGGTCAGTCTTGATGGACAAGCCCAAGAACAAGGACCGTGGGCTGCCAGTGGGCATCCATCCACATAGCCCATATACTTGTCTTCCTGTATAGCGGCTTCAAAAATCCAACAAATACCTTCTTCACTCTGCCTTCAAATTCTCCTTCAAGGTAGACTATTAGTAGATACAAACCATAAAGAGAATGGAAAATCTAACTACCAAAAAGACTCTGGCTCTTCAAAGTGAACTATTCAGGTAATAGCTGGAAAGAATGACAAAAAGTAAAGGGAAAAAGATTAAAATAATTATTCATATAAGACCATATTCTGTAATAAACTTTACAAGGACAACCTGGGCTACATAGTGAGTTCAAGGCAAGATTAAACTACACAGAGAGACACCCAAAAAAATAAAATCTGATGGCAATTCTTTATTAGCCATGAAATATAAACTTCTGTGTCCTTTAAAAAGTTTTCTCAGGCCAGGGATTTAGCTCAGTGGTTCCACTGCCTGCCTCGCAAGCGCAAGGCCACCAGTTCAATCCCTGGTACCAAAATAAAAGTTTTCTCTATAAGAAAATGGTAGAATATATAGGATGAGCAAAGGATAATTCAGAAACTGCCACATGAGCCAGTAACAAAGTCCCAACAATTAACAAACACTGGTTTTCAATGGCCCATTAACCACAGAATCCAATAACTGTATGAAAATTAAACCTCCCTGTAATATTAAAAATGCATTTCAATTCACCTCCAGATTCCATATATTTCAAAATTAACAAATAAAAATTGTATTAAGTGAGCCAGGCACCACAGCACATATCTATAATCATACCTATTGGAGAGGCTAAGGCAGGAGCAAGAAAGGAGCAAGTCAGATGCCACCTAGGCAATTTAGTGAGATCCTGACCCAAAAATTTAAAAGTGCTGGGGCTGTGGCTCACATTCCCTGGATTCAATCCCTAGTATTATGAAAATACAAAACAGTATTTAAGTGATTTAAGAAAAACTACTTAAACTCACAGTTGCTTCAAAAGTACTTACAAAATTATCTCACCTCAATGATTCTTTGAAGAAAGAAGTGATAGCCACAGTCCAAATATCCACATTAAAAATGAACCATTGGGCCGGGGATTTAGCTCAGTGTTTTCGCCGCCTGCTGTGCAAGCGCAAGGACCCGAGTTCGATCCCCGGTACCAAAAAAAAAAAAAAATGAACCATTGATAAAAAAAAAAATCAATTTATACCTTTTATGCCATTTCCTTCAGGATGTGTGCTTTTTGGAACATTCTGCATTATTTGCATCAAGGTTTTCATATTACTTCAATTTGTGTATTTTACTAAATTGGGAGTTGTCTTTATTGTTAAAATGGAACTCTTTCACACTTTCAAATTTTTAATCTAGTGTGCATGCTCTCCCTCTCTACCAGTCCTCCTTCCTTCCTCTTTCTCTAGTGCTAGTGCTGGGTTTAAACTGAGGGCCTTGTGATTGTGATGCAAGCCCTCTACTAAAGAGCTACACAACTAATCCCCAGGGAGCATTCATACCTGTTTCTGTAAGGATATGAGCCAACTGAAGGCTTCTGTATGCTACTTATATTCCTATCTATATTCTCTCCATTGTTCATGGCTTCAAACTTGTGGGACACAAAAGCAATTGTTATCATCTACATTTATAGGGTTTCTCACCAATATCCATTCTCAAATACGCTAGAAAGCTGCACAAAGAAAGCCTTCCCATATTCTTTGTATGAAGTGCCTCTCCAACACAAGCTCTTCCATGCTTTTCAAAGGACCTATAACAAATTAAGGCTTACCCACCCTTATTATATTTGTGCAGTTTTCCCTTCACAATGGGATCTTTGGTGTGTTCGAAAGTTACTGGATCGACTGAAAGCTTTCCCACACTTTGTACATGGATAGGGTTTTTCTCCAGTGTGAGTCCTTTCATGTTTTTGAAGGGTACTGGGACAACTAAAGGCTCTCCCACATTCTTGACATACATAGGGTTTCTCCCCAGTGTGAGTTCTTTTATGTATTTGAAAGGAACTAGAACTCCTGAAGACCTTTCCACATTCTTGACATTCATACGGTTTCTCTCCAGTGTGATTTCTTTCATGTATCTGAAGGGAACTGTAACGCCCAAAGGCTTTACCACATTGTGTACACTCATAGGGTTTCTCTCCAGTGTGAATCTTCTGGTGCCTTTTAAATGAACTTGGACAACTGAAGACTTTCCCACATTCTTTACATTCGTAGGGTTTTTCTCCAGTATGAGTTCTTTTATGAACTTGAAAGGAACTGGAACCGCGAAATGCTTTACCACACTGTTTACACTGATAGGGCTTCTCTCCAGTGTAGGGCTTCTCTCCAGTATGAGACCTTTCATGCATCTGAAGGTAGCAAGAACGACTAAAGGCCTTATCACACTGCTTACACTCATATGGCTTCTCCCCAGAGTGAGTCTTTTCATGTCTTTGAAAGGAGCTGGGACAACTGAAGGTTTTCCCACACTCCTTACATTCATATGGCTTCTCTCCAGTGTGAGTCCTTTCATGTATTTGAAAGGAACTGGCACTACTTAAGGTTTTCCCACACTGTTTACATTCAAAGGGCTTCTCTCCAGTGTGTAGTCGTTCATGTATTTGAAATGCACTAGAACTAATGAATATTTTTCCACATTCCTTACATTTGTGAGGTCCTTCTCCAGTATGTGTTATCATATGCCTTTGAAAAGGTGAGAGAGAAATGAAGGCTTTTCCACATACCTCACATTCATAGTATGCATTTGTCCTAGTATGCATTCTTTCATGTATTCGAAAAGAACTGAAACGACCAAAGGCCTTACCACATTTTTTACACTCATAGGGTTTTTCTCCACTATGAGTTCTTTTATGTCTTTGAAAAGTACTAGGACAGTTGAAAGCTTTTCCACATTCCTCACATTCATGAGGTTTCTCTCCAGTATGGGTTCTTTTATGTATCTGAAAGGCTTTGGAAGTACTTAGACTTTTACCACACTGTTTGCACTGGTAGGGTTTCTTTCTAGTGTGAATTCTTTCATGTACTAGAAAAGAATTGGAAGAATAAAAGGCTTTGCCACATGCCTTACATTTATAAGGTCCATCTTCACTGTGCCTTTCCACATGTCTTTGAAAGTTTGATACAGAAGTATAGAATTTTCCACATTCCTTACATTGATAGGATTTCTCTTCAGAACAAGTTCTTTCAGATTTTTTAAAGGAATCGTGAAAACTGAAGGCATTTCCACATTGCTTATCTTGATATGTTTTCTTTCCATCTTTATGTTCACATGTTTTGTGTTCAGTGTGAGCTCTCGTGTGCCTATTAAGGGATGAATGACCAATGCAGACTTCTCCACATACACTGTAGTCATAGGATTTTACAGCAGGAGTTTTCTTCCTGAGCCTGAGATCTGGAATCTGGCTGCAGGTTTCTCTACGTTGAGCACCTTTGACCCCTTCCCAGAGTCTCTCTACAACATGTCTTCTGTAAGAAAAGAGAAATATTATTAAAGCCTTTAGTATTGTTTTTATTTTCTGACAGGGTCTTCCTATGTTGCTCAGGCTGACCTCTAACTCACAATTCTCCTGCGTCAGCCTCCCAAGTACCTGGAATTACGAGCTACATCACCACACCTGGCCACAATTGCCTTTCTTTCTTCCTTTCTTCCTTCCTTCCTTGCTTTCCTCTCTTTTTTGTAGCACTAGGGATTGAACTCAAGTTTTGATACTGAGCTACACACTCAGCCCTTTTTGTCTTTTTTGACAAAAAAAAGTTGCTAAATTGCCCAGGCTGGGCTTCAACTTGCAGTTCTCCAGCCTCCAACTCCCAAAGTGCTGGGATTACAGGTACATACCACCACACCCAACTGTGTTTGTTTTAATAATTTATATTTACTAACAAGAACTACACTTATATTTTTAACATTTTAACCAGAGAAAGCAAGGGCTTATGTCCTCTCAGAATTGCTTAAGCACAATTTAAGTCCTCTGCGAGAGGTCTGGATCATAGCAATTATCAAAACATATGTGGGTTTTCCTAAAACTGTTTACAAGTGAACTAATATCTACATAACATGTAAGGATATAATTCTAGACAAAATGTTCAAGGCATACTGAAATGTGAAGTTGTGGTTATTGATTCTGTTACTGTGTTTTAATTCTAAGAACACTGCTTCCCTTATGAACCAAAATACCTTAGGTTTTTGCCAGGATTTTGGTACAGTTCTTCAATGTTCTGGTCTTCCCATTTTAGTCCTAAAATACAGACCCAGAAAAAGCATTATGGGGGCTGGGGATTTAACTCAGTGGTTCTGCTGCCTGTCTCACAAGCGCAAGGTCCCAAGTTCGATCCCCGGTACCCCCCCCAAAAAGCATTATGAACTGTTACAGCATTTAAACATGTATTAGATCCTAGCTTCATGATACACTGAGCCTTGCTGATGTATTTACCAAAGCATTCCCCTTTCATATTCTAAACAATTGAACCCCAGTAATAGCCAAGAAATACTCATTCTTTAAATGACTAAGTGAAGGAATGTTATCCTTACCTACAAAGGCCAGATTACTGAGAGTTTCCCGCATCACATCTCTGTATAGATTCTTCTGAAAAGGATCCAGCAAAGCCCACTCTTCCTGGGTGAAGCTCACAGCCACATCCTCAAAGGTCACCAAGTCCTAAAACATATTGCATATATGTAAATGAGAATGGGTGAGACTGATAGCTCTGGGGACCAACACACTCAATTCATAAATTCACATGATTCTGGTCTCCAGTTATTTCATGACTTGGTCATCAGACACACTCTGTCTCCTCCCACACACACAAAAAAGAAAGAATGGAGCCAAGTACCATAGTGGTACAAACTACTCAGGAGGTGGAATTAGGGGTACTGCTCAAAACCAAGGCCAGCATGGACAACAAAGAAAACCCAGAACCCAGGGGGAAAAAAGGAATGGGAGCTAGAGGTTTAGCCCTACTATAGAGCATATACTTAGCATGCATGAGGCCCTGGGTTTGATCCTTCAGGATGCCCATGCGTACACACACACATAGTAAAAATTGAACTGTTTAGAAAATGGAAAAGGACATAATTTGTCTACTTTCTTTGTTGTAATCTGAGTTTCAAGTCACAGATCTGGCAGCACCTGACAACCAGTAACTCCTCACAAAAGAGCCAGTCAAAATGCATGAAGACTTCAGGCAGCACGGCAGGCTAGAAAGGCTCAAACCGCTATAAAATGCTTTGGGAGTGCAAGGGAAGCACCCTGGTCTGAGACTGATTAGCTGAATGATTGAATGACTGACTGTGGAATTGGAAAATGAACCCAGAGGGAATTGAACTCTACCATGAGCCACATTCTCAGTCCTTTTTATGTTTTATTTTGAGACAGGGTAAGTTGCCCAAGCTGGCTTGGAACTTTCAATCCCCCTGCCTCAACCTCTAGAATAGCTGGGATTATGGGTATACACCACCACACTGGCTTGGCCTGGGATTTGCATTGAGGTTAAGGGATAAACTAGTGTGAGAGGGCAAGCTTACATGCACTGAATCACTTGTCACTGAAAAAGGAGGGAGTACTTCAGTTTCCACTATGGTGCATAAAAAGACACAAGGCAATACATACTCAAAGAAGAAAAAAGCAAATGAACCAAAAAATCAAAAACTTTTCCGACATCTATCAGAGAAATAAGTTCAGAGGGCAAGCGGCAGTCCCCAAATGGACACACAGAGACAAAAGATACAAGAAATAATCTATGGGAACAGAAACCTCTGTGAAAAGCAGCACAAGGGTGGGAAAAAACTAAACTATAACTAGTGAACTGCTAACGGCTGATAGGACAAACTTGAGAGGTAAAAATTACAGGGTGGGCTCCCCTAATTTGTTTTACCTCCAGAAACCCTGACAGCTGCTCCTAGTGAAGATCAAAGTCACTACCTGCTTCCAGGAGGAGAAAAATGTAGCCATCTTGAAATATCCCCGGAGATCTGTGTTCAAGTCCTTCCTTCAAGATAAACTGCAGGGCTGGGAATGTAGCTCAGTGGCAGAGTGCCATTCCTCTTCACTGAATGCGGCCCAGGCAAGCCAAAAAGTTGGACACCCACCAACCATCTTTAGATTACTTACAAAACCTAATATAAATGCTAGTAAATAGCTGTTCTACTGTATTGTTTGGGGAATAATGACCAAAAAGTAGTCTGTACATACTCAGTACAAAGGGGGATTATTTTCCCAGATATTGAGGGCTGTCTAAAAACAGAAACTTGTCTAGGACAAACCTTCTGGGGAAAGAGAAACAATGAAGTCCAACCCCCTCTAACCTTCCTGCACCAACTAAGGAGGGAGGAAGACTGAGAGGTCCTTATGAAAGTCACAATCCAGGGACACAGGCTTTGTAAAACTGAGGCCAAGCCACAGGATCAATGGAATGCTTTGCTTCACTTGCCCTGCAGCACAACACTGTCAGGGATCCTGTGTAACTGGAAAGCACCACTAAAAGAATGCAATTTGCAAAGTCTCTAGTGGAACAGAAAAAACTGGATTACACTGATGAAGTGGACACATTTCTAGAAACACAAAAAATCTAAGCCTAACTATAACTAATAAGGGTCATGAAGTAGAAATAAAAAATCCCCACTATGGTTAGAATGTTTGTCCCCTTCCAAAATTAATGTAGAAATGTTATCCTCAATGCAGGAATATGAAAAGGTGTGGGACCTTTAAGAAACAACTATGTCATGAGGGCTCTCCTCTGATTGACAGGATTACTCCCTTATGAAACAGCTGAAGAAAACCATGAAGACCCTTTGACTGTGAAGACACAGTAACATGGCACCAGGCCAGGCTTTCACCAGTTATCTAACCTACCAGCTTCAGATTAACAATTTCCCAGCCTCCAGAACTCTGAGAAATAAATTTCTGTCACTCACAAATTACCTGGTCCTAGGTATTCCGTTACAGCAACATAAACAAAGACACTGACAACAACAAAAAAAACTCCCAAATCCAAATAGTTTCATTGCTATTTTTTATCATTTTAAGAAAAATTAACACCAATCTTCTGCAAACTCAAATTACTGAAGAGTAGGGGATGCATCTATATTTATTTCTTCCTCCTAGTACTGGGGATGGAACACATAGCCTCGTGTGTTAGGCAAGTGTTCCACCACTGAGCTAATCTCTAGTCCGTAAGAGGCCAAAATTACCCTGAAAACAAACACTCTACAAGAAACATATTGATGCAAGTATCCTCAAACACTTACTCAAAGATGCAATAATCAAAACTGTACTGGGCAGGCACAGTGGAACAGGCCTATAATCCACCTACTTGAGAGGCTAAGGCAAGAGGACCACAAGTCCCAGGCCAGCTTGTATAACTTAATAAGACCCTGTCTCAAAATAAAAAATAAAGAATTGCGTTCACAGCCGCTGCCGCACCGCCGTCGCTCTCCAATGCCAGCGCCGCCTCTAGCTCGCCAAGCTCCAGCCAAAGGAGAAGGGGGTAAGGAGGTCCCTGTACCATGGCTCGGACAAAGCAGACTGCCCGCAAATCCACTGGTGGTAAAGTGCCCAGGAAACAACTGGCTACAAAAGCCGCTTGCAAGAGTGCGCCCTCTACTGGAGGGGTGAAGAAACCTCATCATTACAGGCCTGGGACGCTGCTACTCCGTGAAATTAGACATTATCAGAAGTCCACTGAACTTCTGATTCGCAAACTCCCTTTCCAGCGTCTGGTGCGAGAAATTGCTCAGGACTTCAAAACAGATCTGCGCTTCCAGAGCGCAGCTATTGGTGCTTTGCAGGAGGCAAGTGAGGCCTATCTGGTTGGCCTGTGTGCCATCCATGCCAAACGTGTAACAATTATGCCAAAAGATATCCAACTAGCATGCCGCATACGTGGAGAATGTGCTTAAGAGTCCATTATGGTGGGAAACATTTCATTCTCAAAAAAATTTTTTTCTCTTTTTCCTGTTATTGGTAGTTCTGAATGTTAGATATTTTTTTCCCATGGGGTCAAAAGGTACCTAAGTACATGATTGCGAGTGGAAAATAGGGGACAGAAATCAGGTATTGGCAATTTTTCCATTTTCATTTGTGTGTGAATTTTTAATATTAATGCGGGGATGTAAAGCATTAATCCAAGTCAAAATGTTTCAGTGAACAAGTTTCAGCAGTTCAACTATATAACAATTATAAATAAGCCTGTTAAATTTTTCTGGACAATGCCAGCATTTGGATTTTTTTAAAACAAATAAATTTCTTATTGACGGCAACTAAATGGTGTTTGTAGCATTTTTATCATACAGTAGATTCCATCTAGTCACTATACTTTTCTGAGTTGTCTTACATGCTAGTACATGTTTTTAATGTTGTCTGTCTTTCTGTGCTGTTCCTGTAAGTTTGCTATTAAAATACATTAAACTGTAAAAAAAAAGAAAGAAAGAAAATAAAAATAAAAAATAAAAAGGGCTGGGGATAAAGCGTAGTGGTACAGTACCTTGGATTCAATCCTCAGTACTATGAATAATAATAATAATAATAATAATAATAACAAAAACAATCATAATATATGGCTAGGGATGTAACCCAATGCTCCCTGGGCTCACTCTCCAGTACTGGCAAAATAAAATAAAATAAAATAAAAAGGCCAGGGATTTAGCTCAGTGGTTCCACCGCCTGTCTTGCAAGTGCAAGGACTCGAGTTCGATCCCAGGTACCAAAAATTAAATAAATAAATAAAATAAAAAGCAAATATAACAAACCACTATCCTGTGTACTAGTATAAAGACAAAGAGATGGACAAATGGAATATGTAAGCCAGAAAGATACCCTCACAAATAAGGTAAAATGGTTTTTGACACAAATGCCTATTTCAATAGGAAATAGTCTTTTCAAACACTGATGCTGCATGCAGAAGTACACTGGAAGCACATCATGGGTCAGAACGTTGCTGATTATATATATGCATTGCCTAATGGAAGAAGATGAAGATGCTTACAAGAAACAGTTCTCTCAGTACATAAAGAACAGTGTAACTCCAGACATGGACGAGATGTATAAGAAAGCTCATGCTGCTATACGAGAGAATCCAGTCTATGAAAAGAAGCTGAAAAGAGAAGTTAAAAAGAAGAGGTGGAACTGTCCCAAAATGTCCCTTGCCCAGAAGAAAGATAGGGTAGCTCAAAAGAAGCCAAGCTTCCTCAGAGCTCAGGAGCGGGCTGCCGAGAGTTTTCTATGAAGATTTTTCAGATGACAACCAATAAACTTATTCATCAAAAGAAAAAACTGGTGCTGCGAAAACTGGATAACCACATGCTAAACAGAGAAACTGAAATTAATATAGCTGTTCCAGCTGTTAGATTTCTACATTTATTTAATCTGTCTTTATTCAATTTTTTAAAATATCTGTTTATTGGCCTGGGTACTTAGCTCAGTGGCACCACTCCTGCCTCCTGAGTTCTATCCCTGGTACCAAAAAGGAAAAATATCTATTTATTTTTTGATGCTGGGGATTGAACCCAAGGCCTCACACCTGCTAAGCACACACACTATCACTCTGCTAGCTACACCTCAGCCCCTGTCTATTTTTAAATTGACAAAAACTGAACACATTTATCGGATACAATATTATGTTTAAAAATATGTATACATTATAGAGTAGGTAAATTGAGCTA